AAACGCTGGGGATGCGAGCACACAGCTTTTCTATCCAGACAACTACAATAGTCTCTCTGGCCCCCACAATGACCATTACCTTCTAAATACACTGATCTGACATCACTCCACTGCTTAACATTCTTCAGAGAGTTCCCATTCCCTATAAAGTCTAATTCCTTAGCAAGGTATAAAAGGTCCTTGGGTTACACTTGGCTTACTTCTCCAGGAAACAACTCCCTCATCCTAACTTTTCCATCCATCACTATCTATCCTATCCCCCTCACCAGCTCCCATCTGAATCCTTTGCTAACTAGCAAACCACCCGCAGCACTCCTAACCTCATCACATTCTCCCTGCCTCTAAGCCTCTGCCCATGCATTTCTCCTTGTCTGAATGCCTTGTTCTGCTTGTTTATCTAGCAAAACCCCGTGCATCCTTCAAGCTTCATCTTCTTTTCTCATCCAGGCAGGGGTGTCGTTCTCCCCTCTGTAGTGTACATACCTCTTATTGCACATTCCTTCAATCAATGGATTCACTGAGTCTCTACTATTAGCCAGCCACTATGCAAGGTGCGAATACAAACATAAATAATAGACTGTGTCTCATCTCCCCCCACCCCAACTAGCCTGGAAGCTTGCTGGGGCCAGGGATGATCTTATTCATCTTGGTATCCCCAGCACAATGCCTTGCATGTAACAGGAGCTCAATAAATTCCTCTTGAAAAAAACAAACGAAGCATTCACCAGACTGTTCACTCCCTCATGCCCCTCAGCGCCTAATGTACCCAGTATAAACTAAGTACATGTTGCTTTGCAAATGTCCCATCAGTGCCTGTAATGCAGTACAGCCTACCTCCTTCATTTGACTGGAAGCTCCCTGAAGGCAGGGGCTGTGGCCTGTCTCCTTTCCTTCCTCTAGATCTCCCCCTGGTGCTTAATACAGAGCTTGGCTCACTGGGTTGGTCAATATGTTGACTAAGGCAGCATTCAAGAGAGAAACTGCAAACGCGCTTCCCAGTGATCTTGAAGGAGGAGGACTCTAGAGCTTTTTACCTGAGCCATGCTGATTTCTCACTTAATGCAACCCAAAAGTTCACGAGTTTCTTGATCCACCTTTAAGACACTGTTGTCTGAAGAACTGTCACCAAATCACTGTAACAACTCCTTCGTGTCCCCTCAGTCCTGCTGCCATATTGAACTGCCTTTGTCTTCAAATAGAACTTAGTGTCCTCCAAAGGGAAGATAGATGTTCCAAGAATCCCTGGACTCTGCCTGGCTCCTGCCTACTGTCTGAAGAAAAAGAGTCTGCCAGTCTTGGTTTTCCAACAGAATTCTCTCGATGAAGTTCACGATCTGTTTCAGCAACCTGAAACCAGAAAAGGAGATGGGGCTGTTAGGCACAACATCCTCAGGACACACAACCTGTAGAAAGCCGAATTTGCTTTTTCTTTCTGGCCGGGCGCCCTCTTTGAAGCTCAGAAAAAGGACATTAGTCAAGAAGAGTTTTCTTTCTAGGTCAAGAGAAGAAACTGGTCTCCAGGTCAAGGAGGGGCGGCCAACAGGAGCAAAAGTAACTGGGGCCTCTTATGGAGGAACTGCAACAGACAACTGCTAGGATTTGCCAGCAGGAAATGGAAGAAGGGGGCGGAGGCCCTTCGGGGCTTTTGCGCCGAGTGGGCCGGCCCGCGAAGCTCGCACTCCAGTGAGGCGGCTGGAACTGGGGTGGAGAAAAACTCAGGGGCTGGCGCCTGGGGAGCGGGCAGAAACCAGACAGGCAGTGCGCGCCCAGGCGGACCCACACGTGCGCGTTCTCCGAATCCGCCCAAAGGTAAGGAAACTCGCTGCGGAGCTGGAAGGCAGACCGGCGAAACCCGGCGCTGCGCGTTCCCTCCCTCCCTCCAGCCTGCCCTCCAGCCTGCCTTCCTGCCTGCCTGCCTGCCAGCCAGCCGCTGCGCCCGCCGCGCGAACCCACAGGAGAGCCCGAGAGCGCCGAGGAGCGCGCGAGGTGCGTGCTCGCGCCCGTGTCCCCTCCAAGCAAGCCCCCCTCTCCCGGGCCGGGGACGCGGGCGCACTGCCGGACGCGCGGGCGGGGGGCGGTGCGCGCGCGTCCCTGCCCTCCCGGCGAGCCCCCTCCCTTCGCCACGCGCCCCTCCTCCCTTCCCCTCCCCCTTCCCGCGCGGCGCCCCACGGCCTGCGAGCTGCACAAGCGCTGCCGTCTGCCCGCACGACGCTGCGCGCCCTGGGGCGTGCCCCTACCTGCCAGGCGCGGCCTCCTGCTGTCGCGCCCGCCGCGGCGCCTCCTCCAGGCCCCAGCACCCCGTGCCAACCCCGTGGCCGTCGCTACCCCCGCCGGGACCGAGGCAAGTTTACAAACACCAACCCGGGGCCCGTTTCCCCGGAAGCACTTTCCCTCCCCCTCGTCCTCTTCGCCCAGCAGCAATATCCACTTCCGGGCTCGGGAGCCTGGACGGGCGGGGGCAGTCAGAAAGGGGGTGAGGCTGGGGACGCACAGAGGGGATGCAGCTGGTGAGTGGGCGGTGTCGGCGAGCGGGAGGACGGGAAGGGGGCGGACTGGCGGTGCGGCGCGTGCGCCGTGGTGCGGGCGCGCCCCTGCGGCCATCTTGACTGAGGGCAGGAACGAAGGCCCTCAGACGATTGTGCCCTGGGTGCTGGTTGAGAGGTTTTGCTGGGTGAGCTAGTTTAGACTCTTTGAAAAAGCGCCATCATTCTCCCTTCCTCGCGGACGTTCTCCCTGTCGCTTCTGATCCTCGAGCCCCAAATAGAGCCAAAATTGTTCTTACCTGGCCTTTTCACGGAACTCGGCCGAGGGCGTCTACCTGAGCTTTCCATCAGGCCCAGATCTGCAGGTTCTGGGGCCGCCCAGTCAGCTGGGAGAGGAGTTAACTTTTTTGCACACTCCGGCTGTGTACACTCAACCACAGTCTGAAAATGGGTGTCCCAACCGCGGTCCGCGACCCTGAAGTCAGTCTGGTTACCTTATGCCGCTTCCCTCTTTATTCCAGATCGTCCAGCGTGTAACACTGGCCTCCTGGCCTGGAAAAAGCATAGGCCTCCCCTGCGTAGGAGACTGTGGTCTCCTTGCAGACTTGACGACGCAGGGTGACCCCTGGACCCGGCTGCATTAGGAAAATGGAAACTTGAGCCTTTTCTGCAAATTCTGCTCCCAACTTTAGCTATTGGGGAGGGGTCCTGCTAAAGATGAACTATGCCAAGTGCACTTGATGGAAGGAAATGTGGATTCCGTTAGGTCCCAGCTTCTGCTGTAGATGCTGTCAGATTGTGAGTTTAGGAGAATTAATGGGGATACCAAAAGAAAAAAATCTTTATTTATGAAAGAAGACAAGAATTTCCAGCCGCGCTTTGTACATAGGTTTCATTTCCCTGAGCTCTCCATGTTTTGAGCCATTGTCATTGTGCTTTTAGGATCATGATAAAATGGAGAGAGAGAGAGAGAAAGTAAGTGATCAGAAATGTCTTTAATTTTTAAAAAATTAGCTCATACCTATTTTAACAAATCCACACAACACAAAAGAATAAAAGGCAAAAAATGTTTAGTTTCCCCCTCTACTATCCCATGCTCCTGAAGGCAGTCACTTTTTTCACTTTGGTATATATACCTCCAGGCTTTTGTGTATGTTCATACACAAATATTTCTTTTTCATCCAGAACACACTTATTGAGCACCTACAATGCACCAGCACCCCGTGCCAACCTAACAGTGTATCTTAGACATCTTCTAAGTCAGTTCATATTTTTGAAGTCGTTGCAGAGTATTCCAACTTAATGTTTGTACTTTGATTTGTCTAGACCTATCCCGATGGACACTTAGGTTAGATTCAGGTTTTTTTGTTTTGTAAACGATGCCATAATGAACATCCTTATATAATTATCCTTTTGCATCTACAGATAGATTTGTAGATAGGATCTGTGCATTTTAAATTTTTAATAGATTTTGTGAAATTGAATTTCAAAAGTTTATACCAGTTTGCATGCTTACTCAGAACCATGTGTGAATGTCCACATTTTCTACAACCTTGGCAATACTGGACACTATGAATTTTTTATACAGTTGTGAGTTTGATAGGTGAAAAATAGTAATTTCCATGTTTTAATTTGCATGTTATTAATAGTGAGGGTGCACATCTCTTGTTGCTTTTTGACCATTTAATTGTTTTTGTAAGCTGCCTGTTCATATTTTTTGCCTGTTAAGGAAAAAAGTAGATCATTTGTCTATTTCTTATTGTTAGAAGTCTTCTCTGTTATGTTAACTTTTTATTTGTCATATACATTTAAAATATTTTCTGTTAGTTTTTCATTTATCTTTCAGCTTTTGTAGAGCAAAAGTGATGCTTTATGGGAAAATATTTCTATCAAAGATAAGAACAAGACAAGAATGTTTACCATCAAAACTTATCCTACTAGAGCTCCTGGTCACCCAAAAGTCTCATTATTATATGATATGTTTATTTATAGAGAGAATCAATTGTCAGAATACTAAAACTAATGAGTTCAACAACATGGTCAGATGTAAGATTACAAAACAAACAAACAAACAAAAATTGTAGAGCCAGCCCTGACGGCCTAGTGGTTAAAGTTTGACTCTCACCGCTTTAGTGGCCTGGGTTTGCTTCCCCGTCGTGGAACCACATCACCTGTCAGTCAGTTGCCATGCTGTGGTGGCAGCTCACATAGAAGAACTGGAACGACATACAACTAGCATATACAACCATGTACTGGGGCTTTGGTGAGGAAAAAAACCAAAATTTGTATAAATAAAATATGAGAACAATAACCAACCATAAAAATGTCATAGAATAAATAATCTCATTCACAATAAAAGAATTACATTTCTAGAAATAAACTTAACAGGAAATCGCAAGTCATATATTAAGAAAATCAGACTATTTTAGTGAAAGACAAAAAGGGCTTGGTTAAATGGAGAGTTTTGCCATGTCCGTGAGTAGGAAGACTTAATATTGTAGAGACATAAGTTTTTGCTATAGGTTAAGTGAAATTCTAATCAAAACAAGACTTTGCATGGAGCTTAAGCTGATTTTAAAATTTACATGGAAAGGAATAATTGCAAGGAGAGCAAAAACCATTCTGGCAAACATTGAGTGGGTAAAATAAGGAGCTGGGAAAAATAAAGCCATGAGTTATCTTTAACCACTTTAATGGTGTCTTTCTTTACCCAGAATTTTTAAAGTTTTATGTAGTCAAATCTACCTGTGGCTTTTGGATTTTTGTGACATGCTACCTCAAGATTATAAAAATGCTTCTCTGTATTTCCTTCTGGTATTCTTATAGTTGTATATTTTCAGTTTATGTTTTTATCTCAGCTACAGTTTACTTTTGTGTATGGTGAGAGGTAGTGAGAAATGCCAGACTTAAAAGAGACCCGTAATGTAGTGGGAGCGATACTAGCCTAGAAGTCAGAAAATCAGCAATCTAGGCTTGCTCCCATGTCACTTTGGAATCTTGGATAAATTAATTCACTCTCTGGCCCAAGAGTCCTCATCTTGAAAACAAAGATGAGTAAATAAATAACTTTTCAGGCTAATTTCTAGCACTACCCTGAGGATCAAATGAGATCATAGATGAAAAGACTTTGAGAAGAAAAAAAAACCCTTTGCGAATCTTCTAAGTTATCATTAATACAGATTTTTTGTTTATGCAAATCAAATGTAAGTGGAAATGCAGCATTATTTTTTACTACCTATAATAGTTGGTTGATTCATCAAATGTTTATTTCATGCCTTTGTGCAAGACCTTGGGGGAAGGGAGTGGAGACTGAGGAAGATGAAAACTAACATTTTTTTGTGTTTGGTGCTTTACTTTAAAGAAGGATAAGACTTAGTCCTCTCCGCTCAGGAATTTGCAGTCTAGAAGGGGAGAAGACAGAGTACCCTTAAGGAGAATTTGTGCCTCTGTTAATGTGGGTGTTGAGTCAGTGGGCTTTGTTAATAGGTAGACAGCACAGAGGGCAGTGTTTTCACTTGCTCACAATAAGCCTGGCTGAAACTGCTTTAAGAAGCAACTGCCCTGACCCTCTTGCCCACAGGCCGGCCTCCTCCCACGTGACCTTCCCTAATTTCCTTGGCACAGTCTGCCCTCAGGCCCAGCCCACCACTTATTACAAATAGTATTGTAATGATTACTGGTTAGTCTTTTCCTGCACCAGCTCTCTATGGCCTAAGGAGAGCCTGAGTGTTTTCTCTTTGAAGGCTGCCCTGGGCCAACTGAGCCGAGTTAACCAGCTGGCTTTCCTTTGTGAGCGGTCCACTCTCTTGTGGTGAGCATGCCATTATTTTACATGCCGGCCTCCCTACTGGCCAGTTAGCTGTGGCGCACAGGGCAGACATAGCACCCAGGGTAGTGCTGGGCCACAGAAGTAGATAGTCAGTGTTTGCTGAACTAGCTGAACCTGTTCCTCTCTTTGAGAGCCAGTTGGGTTGTGAAATAGAAATGAGTGGTGTGAGGCTACCTTTGTCACCTGTTAGACCTTTTTGATGATAGTGCATTGAGGAGTTGGGAAGGCACATGATGTACTAGGGCCATTCCTTGAGCCTGGTGATATGTATATTTTAGAATTCTTTTTGCTCCTTAATTACTCCTTAATCTTTTTTTTTGCTTAAAAATAACCTTTATTTTAATTATATAAGTAATATGAAATTATTGTATAAAAATATAGAAGTGTAGGGGCCGGCCCTGTGGTGTAGTGGTTAAGTGCGCACACTCTGCTGCTGGCGGCCTGGGTTCGGATCCCGTGCACACTGATGCACCACTTGTCCGGCCATGCTGTGGCGGCGTCCCATATAAAGTAGAGGAAGATGGGCACGGATGTGAGCCCAGGGCCGGTCTTCCTCAGCAAAAAGAGGAGGATTGGCAGATGTTAGCTGAGGGCTGATCTTCCTCACACACACACACACACACACATGAAAAAAAAAATATATATATATAGAAGTGTATAAATAAGAAAATGAAAATCATCTATAATTCCAATACCCAGAAATAACCAGAGTTAATATTTTGAAGACTTTTTCTGTCTTTAAAAAAATGCGTGAGGGGGCCAACCTGGTGGTGCAGCGGGTAAGTGCGCACGCTCCCTTTCGGTGGCCCAGGGTTCGCAGGTTCGGATCCCGGACGCGCACTGACGCACCACTTGTCAAGCCATGCTGTGGCGGCATCCCGTATAAAGTAGAGGAAGACGGGCACAGATGTTAGCCTAGGGCCAATCTTCCTCAGCAAATAAGAGGAGGATTGGCATCGGATGTTAGCTCAGGGCTGATCTTCCTCACCAAAAAAAAAAAAAAAAAAAATGCATGAGGCGTGACTGCAAATAGGTATGGGTTTTCTTTTTGGGGTGATGAAAATGTTCTGGGATTAAATAGTGTGATCGATGCACAACTTTGTGAATATACTAAAAACCACTGAATTGTACACTTTTAAAAGGGCAAACTTGATGGTATGTGAATTGTGTCTCAATAAAGCTGTTATTTTCCTAAAAATGCTTAATAGATACATATACACAATATTGTCTTTTTCATAACTGAAAGTTGCTGCTTTCATGCTCTTTTACTGCTAAATGTTTCAGCATATGTTTTCTAAGAACATTCTCTTACACAACCACAATGCAATGATCAAATTCAGGAAATTTAACAATGATAGAATACTAATATTTATGATGCCATTCGCAGTCAGATTCCACCAGTTGTTCCAATAATGTTCTTCATAGGTTTTTTTCTTCCTTATCCAGGAGCCGATTAAAGATCACACGTTCCTTTTGGTTTTAATGTCTCTAGTTTCCTTCAATCTGGAACAGTTACTCAGTCTTTCTTTGATTCTCATAATATTAACATTTTTGAAGAGTACAAGCTAGTTGTTTTGTAGAATGACCCTCAATTTAGATATGTCTGTTTCCTCACCATTAAATTCAGGTTATGCATTTTTGGCAGAAATGTTACATAATTCATGTTGAGTGCTTCTCAATGCCTTATGTCAGGAGGCCCGGGCTGTCAGTCTGTCCCATTATTGTTGGTTAGCCTTGATCACTTGGGTAAGGTGATGTCCACCAGGTTTCTCGACTGTAAAGTTACCATTTTCCCTTTTAAGTGTTTTTAAGGAAAAGAATTTTTACAGCATTACCCAGAGGAAAAAAGTGAAGGTTTTTCCAGGTTTTAGTGTTGGGCTGATGTTTCTGAATGGGAGAGAGCAAGATGTAACAACATTTGAAAATTAAATAAAAAGGAAAAAAAAATCAGTCTAGGATGAGGAGGCAGGCAGGAGTTCAGTTAGAATTTGGATTTGAGCAACCAGTAGAAGATGGTGCGGTTCACCAAACCAGGGAACCCAAGAGGAAGAGCAAATTTGAGAGCGCTGATAATGAGTTCACTCTTGGGCCTGTTGAGTGTGAAGTGCCTGTGAGACTTCCAAATTAGGCAGGTGGCTTCATGGATCTGGGCTCAGGAGCGAGGTCTGGGATGAAGGAGTCACCAGCATGTCACCCTGGGAATGGATGAGATTGTCCAGGGAGACATGCAGAATACGGATGTAAGAGGCCTTGGGATAGAACCCTGAGGCACTCTAGCATTTGAGGGAGGGCAAGAGGAAGGTGAAATGCAAAGGAAACCAAGAAATGGTCAGGGGTAGTCATGGAAGCCAATGGAAGAAAATGTTTCAAGATGGGATGGCAAACTATGTCAGCTCCAGAGGGGTCAAGTAGGGTGAAGATGAGATGTATCCATTTGATTTGGAGGCCGGGAAGATCTTGGTGACCTTGAAGGTGGAAGCTACATGGTGGTGGGCTGAGGAAAGTGAGGGAAGAGGAAGTGAAGAGCGGGAGTGGAGGCAACTCTTAAGAAGGCTGGCTGTGAAGAGGAGGTGGCTGCAGTAGGAACATGTCGTGAGAAGTTTAAACAATTGAAAATGCTGTGAGAAAGGTAGCAGGAAGGAGAGTTGAGGAAATGAGAGGGGATAATCAAGAGGGTATCCCTGAGGGAGAAGGAGAGGAAGCCTTTAGACCAGTGGTTCCAACTCAGATATCTACCAGGCCAGGCAGGTAAAGCAAATGAGTGTGGTGGGCTGGTGTGGACTGAGGTGAAACAGAACAGAAGGTTCTAAGGGCCTGTGCACGGTGAGCTAGTGTTGGGGTTGTACACCTTCCCCCGTTGCCATGTGCTCTGCAGTGCCCTCTTGTGGGAGGAATATGCATCCTCACCCTCCACCCTAGGGCTTGCTTTGGTCAATAGGATATGAGCAGATGTGCCACATGCCAGGTCTCAGCAGAAGTTATGAGTCGATGCATGGTTTTCTCTGCCCTTTGCTCTTTTCTCTCTGCCCTGAGAACGTTGTGTCCCAGATAGGGGCTGTTCCTTCAGCCTGGGTCTTGGAATAAACACATGAAGTAGAGCTATAGCCAACTCCACCACCAATGTAAACCATGCAAGAGAAATAAACCTCTGTTGTTGTAAGCCAGTGGGATTTTGAAGCTATTAGTTACCACAGGAAAACTGGCTAATACAGGAGTTCAACTAAAATAAAACTATACTAAGATATCATTTTTCACTGCCTAAATTAAAAAGATTCACAAGTTTCCACGGCGTACTCTGTTACTGAGGCTGAGAACATAGGCACTTTCATGCACTGCTACAACCTCTATGGATGTTGGCAATCCTTATCAAAATTATAAATGCTGGGAACAGCCCAGTGGCGCAAGCGGTTGGGTATGCATGCTCCACTGCAGCGGTCTGGGGTTCACCGGTTCGGATCCTGGGTGCGCACCAACGCACTGCTTGTCGAGCCGTGCTGTGGTGGCGTCCCATATAAAGTAGCGGAAGGTGGGCATGGAGGTTAGCTCAGGGCCAGTCTTCCTCAGAAAAAAAAAAAAAAGAGGAGGATTGGCATCAGATGTTAGCTCAGGGCTGATCTTCCGCACCAAAAAAAAAAAATTATAAATGCTGATGGCTATAATCAGAGACAGACAATTACAAGTCTGGCAAGGGTGTGGAGAAATCAGAACCCTCGTACATTGCTGATGGGAATGTAAATGGTACAGCCAGTTTGGAAAACAGTGTGGCAGTTCCTCAAAAAGTTAAACATAGAGTTTCGATATGACTCAGCAATTCCACTCCTAGGTATGTACCCAAGAGAACTGAAAACATATGCCCACACAAAAACGTGTACATGAAAGTTCATAGCAGCATTATTCACAATAGCCAAAAAGTCAAAACAACCCAAATGTCCATCATTTGGTGAATGGAGAAATAAAATGTGGTATATCCATACAATGGAATATTATTTGGCCATAAAAGGGAATGAAGTACTGTATTGATATATGCTACAATATGGATGAACCTTGAAAACATTATGCTAAGTAAAAGAAGCCAGTCTCAGAAGATCACATATTGTATGTTTTCATTTATCTGAAATGTCCAGAAAGGCAAATCTATAGAGGCAGAAAATGGATTTGTGGTTGTTGGAGGTTGTGGGGAGGGGAGAATAGGAAGTGACTGCTAATGAGTTTCTTTTTGGGGTGATGAAATTGTTCTGGAATTAGTGATGATGGTTGCACAATTTTGTTACTGTATGAAAACCCACTGAACTGTACAATTTAAAGGGATATGTTTTATGGTATGTAAATTATACCTCAATAAAGCTGTTATATTAAAAAAAAAGAATGAGGAAGTTCTATATGTACTGATAAGAGATGGCCCGTATATTGTTAACTGAAAAAAAGCAAGGTGACAACAGTGATAATATGCTATCTTTTGTGTAAAAAGGGAGAAAATAAGCATATATATTCGCATTGGTTAGTATTTGCGTTAAAAACTCTGAAAGGATACCCAAGAAACTAATAAAAATGGTTACCTGTAGGGATGAAGGTGGGAATGGGGCATGTGGAATGGGGTGGGGATTAGACTATTCACTATTAATATTTTTATATATTTTGATTTTGAACTACCTGAATATATTGCTTAATCAAAAATAAAAAAATTGAGAAGAAAACATAGTGAATGCAAAGCTATGATAATAAGAAAGGGGCAACTCCACCTACAGGTGATTGTCGCTGTTTATTAGTTCAGGCCGAGTGTTGCTAGCTCTTCTGATTTTTTTCACAAGAAGCTGCAAGTTTCAGTATGGACAATTATTTTTTAAAGTTTTAAAATGTACTGTGCAAGCCAAACAAAATGATGTCTGTGAGTGGGAGTTTCCTCACCGTCTTCCAGTTTGTGACCAGGCTTTAGACGGTGAACTTGAACTTCAAGAGGGCGGGGCTGTGATCTTCTGCTCTCCATTGTGCCTCTAGAGGCCACCAAAGTGCCTGGCACATACTGGATACTGAATAAATATTGGAGGGAGGGCGGGGGAGGAAGGGATCCAGCATGCAGGTAACAAAAAGTTGAGTGAGTTTTGATGGCTTTTATTTTCTCTTAAGAAATGTGAAATGAAAGAGAGAAACAGGGAAAAGGTTGATAGGTCGGTAATTTGAGAGTTATGGGGAATTTTTGAAAGAGTTGCTACAGAGCACTGGACATAGAGCTGACGATAGAAAATTAGTGATGTTGCCGGCCCGTGTAGAGCGTCCAGTTGAGCAGAGTCAGTGCTGTTGTTCTCCTCTGAAGCTGCTTACTCCTTCCCTGCAGTCCTGGGAATTCCCTTCACCTCTCTCCTGTGTTGGAGAAGTTTGCTGTGGTCTGATTCTCTATCCTTTGACTATGACCTGATTTTGGTTTGTTTGTTTTTGTTTTATCTCTGCAAGTCTTTGGAGCCTCCATTGTTCTGGACCAAGATTATAATCTGTCTTCGTGTTGGTCATTCAGTCGATCCTTTTAATCTATCCTTCTGTTCTACAAAGCTTTCTTTGATTTCTTCCCTCCTTTTTTCCCTTCTCCTTCTGAAACTTCTGTTAGTTGACTATTGGGCCCTTTGGATTGATCTTCTAAAGTTTTTTTCTCTTTTATTGTCCATCTCTTTATATTTTTGTCTTTCTGTGTGATTTTTCTTGGCTTTGTTTTATTTCTGATTTTTTGTTTCACTTGTCATATTTTGAAAATCCTAGAGCCACTTCTTTTAAATTTTTCTGGCTTTATTGAAGTATTTCCCTTGTCACTTTATTTTTTATTTATTTTTTTCTCTTTGTGAGGAAGACTGGCCCTGAGCTAACATCCGTGCCCATCTTCCTGCACTTTATTTGGGACGCCACCACAGCGTGGCTGGACAAGTGGGGCATCGGTGCATGCCTGGGGTCCGAACCCGGGCCGCCAGCAGCGGCCCCTACGCCACGGGGCCGGCCCCCCCCCAGAGCCACTTATTGTTCTCTGAGTATTCCTTTTTGAAAGCAACCTGTTCTCTTTATGGATGCAATATCTTGAATTTTTGAGGCTTTCTTCTGCTCCCTGCATTTCCCTTCTTCCACCAAATTGCTGTTTTCAGTTTGTCTGTTTTTACCTATGAGGTTCACAGTAGGGGCTTTCCTCAATGTCATTTCCTTGGATTAATGTCTGTGATCCTTGGCTGGCTGTCTGCTCATGTTTAAGAGCGAGGCGCTAAGGCGTACTGGGAGGCCCAAGTGCATGGACAGGCCATATTGACAATGGGCATCTCCAACTAGGTGACTGGATAAGGACTCAAATAAGAGCATCCGTAGGTCTCTTTTCTGGGGCTGTTGTTTCAGTTTCTCTAGAAAACAAACCTGCTTCTTTGGAAGTAGTGGGATGGGAAGGGAGTTGCTTGGCTTAAGGGGCAGGGGGGAGGAGAGTGAGGGTTTAACTGTTCCTTATACAAATTTTCATCTGATTTCCATGTTTTTAGCTATGCCCCTCTCTCCTGCCTTCCGAGATAGCTAGTGATTTCAACCCCTGAGCCTTCCTGGGCTTCTGCCCCAAGAACCAGCTTGTTTCCTGTTGGCATAGCCCTTTGCAGCCATACTGGTTTTGATTTTCTGACATTTCTAAACCAGTTACCACTTCTCATCTGCTTTCTATCTTCTCCTATTATTGACGTCTCTCACCTCTTATCTCTCTTCTGATTTGCTTTATTCTTCTGGTCCCACCGATGGAATTTTAGTGGGGTTTCAGGAAGGAGTAGGGGTAAACGTATGTGCTTAATCTGCTGTGTTTCATGGGAATGAGCGCAGAGACCATGAATTTACAGTGGTACCGATTTGAATGGTTTAGGTGGTTTTCACTAGCAGAATCCAGCCATCCTGGTGGATTTGGTGAGAGAAGGACTGGCCAGTTGGATTGAGGTTTCGCCAGGTTGCTTTGGAGGAAGGACAGTAGGGCCAGGGAGTTGAGGATTTTGGACAAAGGGTGGTTGAAACGATGGGCCATACAATCTAGGTTGTGTAAGTGAAGGAAAGAAAGATATGAGGGAGCTGACGGTTAGAGGAGTTTATGATCTAGAAATCCCATGAAGTCAGGAAAAACTTGTGAATTTTTTAACAAACCCTGCTTGGTCCTACCAGCATCTTCTCAGCCCCTGGCTAAAGCACTCTTCCTAACTCTATTCATGTTTCTTTGCTTTATCGTTTTCACTCACCAGTTAATGTCCTGCTTGCTTTTAAAAAGAACAACTCGGGGCCGGCCCGGTGGCGCAAGCGGTGAAGTGCGCGTGCTCTGCTGCGGCAGCCCGGGGTTCGCTGGTTCAGATCCCGGGGGCGCACCAATGCACCGCTTGTCAAGCCATGCTGTGGTGGCGTCCCATATAAAGTAGAGGAAGATGGGCATGGATATTAGCCCAAGGCCAGTCTTCCTCAGCAAAAAGAGGAGGATTGGCAGATGTTAGCTCAGGGCCGATCTTCCTCACAAAAAAAAAAAGAGAAAAACTCTGCGGGCAGAGGCTCTTCCTTCTCTCAGGTACCCAGGGCAGGATTCTGTGTGGGGAATGAGGGTAGTGATGCCTCGTCTCCCTGTTTTCCCCTGGAGGAAACTGGGAGTGTTCGGAGCCCTCACCTCCAGATTTCATTGCTGAGCAGTGACCGAGGTGGAATGGATAAAGGAGGTGCCGGCCTGGTGGACAGAGCCATGGTCTTCCCTGCAGACCCTCTCTTCAAAGCTTTGGGAAGAGCCTCCTTCCAGCCGGGGGTCTCTCTTTCTTCACCAGTCATTCCCTCCTTGCAAACCCCTTGCAACCTGTTTCCCACCCCACTGCGGCAGGAAAGTCCCCCCTGACCTGCCTGCCGTGTCCAGCAGCCCCAGCTCCTATGACCACCAGCAGATGCCTTGGAGATTGTCTCTTTAAACCCCTTATTTTATAGAAACTGAGGCCCTGAGGCGTCCTTACTCCTGCTCAGTGGTCTTTGTACTACAGCAAACTCAGTGCCTGAGAGAACCACATGTGAGGAAATGGAACAGGATGATTGGGGGCCACACACGCCTGGGTTCAAAGCCAGCTCGGCCATATACTGGCTCCATGATCTGGACAGCTTAGATACGTCGTGTCTCTGCAGTCTCAGTTTCCTCGTCTTTACGTGTGGGTAATAGACTTGCCCTCCACTGTCGTGAGGATTAGAATAATGCACATTAAGTACAGAGCGTGGCATATAAACACTCCAGTGGTTCCTGTTCTTGTGAGCTCTTTCCCTCAAGCCTCTCGACCTAAACACCCCACTGCGGCCACTGCCAGGGGAGCTGCAGTGAGCACTGGTGAAGGATTGACTCTTTCATTCTCAAGGCCTGGGCCAGCTCTCCTATTTTCCCCAAACCCACTCTACCAAGGAAGAGTTTAAGGGTAGGACCCAGGTCCCTTTGGACTTGTGTTTTCAACTAGTGGGGGGTCCAGTGGTGTTGATAGTGGATTATATCAGAGCAGCCCACTTTGAGAAAGTTTCCTCCCTTTCCACATTTTCTTTATCCTCTTGCGCCTCATTTAGGGGGTTCCCCAAGCCTTGTGTTTGCCCTTCTCTCCCTGGCCATCTCTCTGAACATCCTCTCCCGTGGGGAATGGAGCCCGTCACAAGGCTTCAGCTGTCCCTTGACTCTCAAATCTGCTTTCCCTTCTAAGATCTCATCAGAGCTCTGGGCCTGACCTCCTCCCATGTGAGTGTCTGTAGTCCCAGGACACCTCCACTTGGTGGTGGTGTCCACCTCCACCTCCCTCCCCCTCATCCACTTGGATGAGTATTTCCAAGAAATAACCATTTTACTTTCCATCCAAGTAAAGTAAATAACCATTTACTTTACTTCCTCTTTCTGTGTTCCTATTTCTTTTAGGGGCACCATTATTTTTCCAGTCACCCAGGCATCAAACCCCAGGGTCATCTTTGACTCTTCCTTCTCCTCCGACGTAGATTCCCTAAGTGTTGCATTCAGTATTATCCAGTGAGTGGCCAAGCCTGCAGATTCCTCTTTCTGTCTTTTCCTACTGACACCACCCTTATTCAAGCGTGGATCACCTCTTGCCTGGTTTTCACCAACAGCCTGTTCATTCTTCTGCATCCTGCTGCTGTATGCTGGTCTTCTGAAAGCATCAATTTTATCACATGACTCCTTGCCACAGATCTTTCAGTGACCCCATTTCCTGTAGGATAGAATTTGGATTCCTTGGCCTGGCTGGCACTCTGGGCTCCCCATAATCTCGTGTAGCTCTGCCCCCCTGCCTTTGCTCCTGTATCATCCTTGGAGACCCTCCCTCCAGCCAGCCAGGCGCCTTTGCTGACCTTAGAACAAGCCATACTCATTCTTTTTTTTTTTTTTTTTTTTTTGGTGAGGAGATCAGCCCTGTGCTAACATCTGCCAACCCTCCTCTTTATTTTTGCTGAGGAAGACTGGCCCTGGGCTAACATCCGTGCCCATCTTCCTCCACTTTATATGGGACGCCACCACAGCATGGCTTGCCAAGCAGTGCGTCGGTGCCTGCCCGGGATCCGAACTGGCGAACCACGGGCCGCCGCAGCAGAGCACGCGCACTTCACCACTTGCGCCACCGGGCCAGCCCCGTGCCATACTCATTCTTGATGTAAGCTCATGGCGTTCCTTCTCTACCCCCGAATGCCTCTCTGCCTCCCTTTCACCAATCCCATTTCTCCTGTCTACTTTCAAGATCCGGCTCCAGTCCCACTGCAGATCTTCCCCAGTCTTCAGCCTCCATCCACCTCTTCTTTTCCTGAATAGCACTTGGGATCAGCATCCAGCCATGCCCTGGACTGTGACTGTTGCCTGTGCATCTTGTCCTCCCAGTGGGACCGAGAGGCCTTGTCAGTCCCCAGCACCCCGTCGTGAACACAGTTGGTGCTCACTGCCAACAACCACTCTCTGTTTATTGAGCACTCTCAGCCTGCAAGGCACAGGATTACTCTTGTTTAACAAAATGCTTCCTGAGTATAACCTCCTTTTCCTTCCTGCTCTAGGAGAGGGCTTTAGAAATCGGGACAGTTCTGAAAAGACTCTGGGGGTTGGGATGCTGAGAGATTAGCTTCTGAGGCCTCCCTAAACCATTTCGCCTCCGCATCTCTCTCAGGCTCCCTCCCCCTCAGTCTCCAGGGTCACCTGCAGCAGTTTCCTGCACCTGTCCCCGCTGCCCTTGTCTCCCTGGCAGCAAGTCCCCACTCTGGGTCCTTTGATTCACAGTAGGAAGCCCCTCTTCCTGCTGGCTCTCTGCTCCTCTCAACCCTGATGTTCATGTGGCCAGTGTTTTTGCCTTTCATCTCCTTTCCTCCCTTGTCTTGTCAGCTAATGATTATTCAGGGGACTTATCTTAGCCTGCTGTCCCTATCTCAAATCTGCGTAAGTTCCCTTGAGGGCAAGGGTCAAGAGGGTGCTATCACGGTCATGTGACTGCTGCCTATACCTCACTCCCTCTGCTGCCTGGTCCTAACATTCTGGAAAGCTAGCTTTGTGCCCTGCCTCCAGCTCACCTGGACAGAGACCTGAGCAGAAACGTAAGCCTCTCGTCTGTGCCTCAGGTGGGCAATGGCCGCTAGATTCACCTGCTCAGCGCTAACTGCCTTCTTCTTTCCCACCCGTTTCTGCCGGCTTTCTCCCTGGATGCTTCACTTGCCCTTGTCTGTACAGTGAAGGCTGGGTCTGAGCTGTGGGACTGGGACCTTAGACCCATGATGGGGTTGGGGTTCTTGCTGGTTAGGTCCAGGTGGGGTACACTGGCTGAGAAGGGAATGACTCCTGCTCTGCCCACAGATTTATCCTGATGGCTGACTCCAAACCACTCCTCTCCCTTGATGGGGACCCTGTGGCTGTAGAAGCCTTGCTCCGGGATGTGTTTGGGATTGTCATGGATGAGGTCATTCGGAAAGGGACCAGCGCCTCTGAGAAGGTGGGTCCTTTCTCCTTCCTCCTCCTCCTGCCCATCAGACCTGGCTTAGAACCTTCCTGTTCCCACCAGGCTTCTCCCCAGAATTCATCGCTGTCTCACTGTGGGCCTCAGGGGTCACAGACTGTGTTTATTTACCCTGTTCCATGTGCGGTTTTGAAAATATTCCTAACTTGTTTTAAGTGCAAGGTGGTGGTGTCTTGTGTCTGCTGAGATGTGGTTTGGGCAGCCAGTCAGTGGGGTATCTAAGGCCCCAGAGTCTCCCACTTCTCCTCCTAGGTCTGTGAGTGGAAGGAGCCGGAGGAGTTGAGGCAGCTGCTGGATCTGGAGCTGCGGAGCCGGGGAGAGTCGCGGGAGCAGATTCTGGAGCGGTGCCGGGCGGTGATGCGCTACAGCGTGAAGACCTGTGGGTCCTGGTTCTGGCGGGAGGGTGTGGAGTGTGTGCCTGGCTCCACTCTGAGCTCCCTGCCCTCCTTCTCCAGGTCACCCTCACTTCTTCAACCAGCTCTTCTCAGGGTTGGATCCCCATGCTCTGGCTGGGCGCATTGTCACCGAGAGCCTTAATACCAGCCAGTGAGTCTCCCAAGGCCCCTTCACTCCACCCACAAAGGATTCGGGTTTGCAGGAGACATACCCTAGGGGTGGGGGAGGAGAATGGTTTTTGCCCCCTCCCTGTTTTCTGGGAATCTCTGCTGGCAGTTTTTCCCCTCGGGCCCTTTGGGCTCCCTTCCTCCAAGCTTTCTAAGGCCTCCTGACCCATTTTTTCTCACTTGCTTCCCTGATTCTTTGTCATCAACTCGTTCCCCACTGTGGACCCTTCCCTCACTCATTCTCTCCCACTCCTCTGAGTCTGGTCTGGACGGCCCTCCCTGTCCCCTTTTCTCATCGTTCCCTCTTTGGCAGGTACACTTATGAAATTGCCCCCGTGTTTGTGCTCATGGAAGAAGAGGTGCTGAAGAAACTCCGGGCCCTGGTGGGCTGGAGCTCTGGCGATGGGGTCTTCTGCCCTGGTATGTGAGAAGGAGGGGGGCCTTCCTTTGGCCTTTTTCAGGGTTCTGCCTCCCCCATCATTCTCTGGCTCTAAGCTGGCAGGGAGGGGTGATTTCTCTTTGCTTTCTCTCCAGCTGGGCTGGGGCCAAACTGGAGAGAAACTGCCCAGTCCCCTGAATCCTCGTGTTTACCGAGCAGTCCGTGGGATCAGCGCTCCAGTGCCTGTGCTCTCTGGGCGGGGGCGCCGCTGTCCTGGGGGCAGCCTAGGATATGGAGGGGGTGGTCAGGGGGACCTGCGGTTCCCGGGGCCGTTCTGGGTTGTCAGTGTGTTCTGGGTCGTCAGCGTGCCATGGGAATTCGTGGCCTGAGAGCTAATCACCCATGCTTCTTTGATCAGTTCTGGGTGGAGAGGTCAGGGAAGGCAAGCTCTAGTTTTGACCCACTGCCCCTCCCTCTTGCCACCACCCCTTTCCTGTGACAGGTGGCTCCATCTCCAACATGTATGCCGTGAACCTGGCCCGCTATCAGCACTTCCCGGATTGCAAGCAGAAGGGCCTCCGGGCCCTGCCGCCCCTGGCCCTCTTCACGTCAGAGGAGGTGGGAAGAGGCACAGGCCTCCCCTGGGCTCCTGATTCTAGTCTCCAGCCAGCTGAGTCGGAGACCCATCTCCTCTGGGCCAACCTGCCCCCGGGCAGATGTGCTTCCTTCCAATCAAGGGGGCTGAGTTCACGCTCCCGTTCACCTTGCCTTCTGTCTGGAGTGGTGGAGGGGCAAAGATTGCGGTGCACACAGTCCACACCCTTTCAGCTCAGGGTGTGGTCCATGGACTAGCAGCATCAGCATCACCTGGGAGCTTGTTAGAAATGCAGAATCTCGACCCCCACCCCAGACCTACTGAATATGAATCTGCATTTTAACCAGACACCTTGGTGATTCATAGGAGCGTGAACATTTGAGAAGCCCTGGTCTACAGGTCTCATCTCTTGCAAGTCACACTTACCTGTCTGTCTCTCCCCATCCTCCCTGCCCTCTTGCCCCTAGCCTAATTGCCCTCTGCCTTCCTCCACAGTGTCATTACTCCATCAAGAAGGGAGCTGCTTTTCTGGGACTTGGCACTGACAGTGTCCGAGTGGTCAAGGCAGATGAGAGGTGAAGGTCCTTCTGTCCACATGGCTCAGACCCAGCCTGGCTCAGTGTACCTGCCTGCTGCCAGAAGCTCTGGCCTCAGGCCCATGCCCCTGGTGGACTTCTCTCCCCTCTCTGTCCCTGCAGAATTGCTACTTCTGTCACCAGTGCCTGCTAGAGCCTGCTGACCTGTCTCTGAGATCTGTTTACCCCTCCTAGGGAAAAGTCAGCATTGTGGCCTCTGCATTGCCAACCCCACATTACCCTGCTTTCAACAGTTTGCCTCCTAGCCTGGAGAACCTCTTACTTCTCTACCCACTCAATTTTCTTTTCCAGAGGGAAAATGATCCCTGAGGATCTGGAGAGGCAGATCAGTCTGGCCGAGGCAGAGGTGAGTGAGTGAGGGGCACTGGGGCAGTGGAGCAGGACCCCTCTGTCCCTTTCTTGGAGGGTTCTTTGGACTCCCCCTACTCAGGGCACCCGTCATCCCTCTCCTTGATCTCCATGCCTGTCTTCCCTAGGGCTGAAGTGATCTGTGGGGAACCTGAGGGGCGAGGATGCTCTGCGGTGCTCTCAGGGACTCTGCTGATATCACAGGCAGGAGCAGAGCCCAAGAGGCAGGAGCAGGACTGAGTCCCAGGTGACACCACAGGAAGGCTGTTGGGTCTTTTGTGAAGAGCTTCTTTTACTCAGCATAAGAAGTGTAGTGTAGCGTGGAAGGTTCTGTGAGCTCGGAGGGTCTATGCAGGGAGAAGCTCAGGAAGATGTGCAGCCCAGGGCTGGCCCCGTGGCTTAGCAGTTAAGAGTGCGTGCTCCACTACTGGCGGCCCGGGTTCGGATCCCAGGCGCGCACCGACGCACTGCTTCTCCAGCCATGCTGAGGCCGCGTCGCACATACAGCAACTAGAAGGATGTGCAGCTATGACATACAACTATCTACTGGGGCTTTGGGGGAAAAAAAAAGGAGGAGGATTGGCAATAGATGTTAGCTCAGAGCTGGTCTTCCTCACAAAAAAAAAGAAAAAAGATGTGCAGCCCAGTGGTGAGGGGTGCAGGCTTTGAGCTGTGGGAAATGTGGGGGCACCCACACTCTCCTCCACACTGGGGGGATATGTGAACTGCTGTAGCCATCATGGAGGGCATTTTGGTACCGTCTATACAATTTTTTTTACTTCCTCTGGGTAAGATTTGCCCTGAGCTAAGATCTGTTGCCAGTCTTCCTCTTTTTGTATGTTAGCCATTGCTACAGCATAGCCACTGACAGACGCGTGGTGTAGGTTCATGCCCAGGAACTGAGCCCGGGCAGCCAAAGCAGAGCACACCGAACTTAACCACTAGGCCACTGGGGCTGGCCCCATACAATTTTTAAATGTATCTATCCACTGATTCAGAGTCCCACTGCCAGGGTTTATTCTGTAAATCATCATCACAAGTGCTTAGAATTCTGTGCACTGGAACAAAGTGTAAAATTTAAAAAAAAAATTTTAAATGCCCACCAATAGATAAATTATGGTATATCTTTGTGTCTCAGTTTCTTCCTTTGTAGAATGAGCATAATATAGAACTTACCACATAGGGTTGTTGTAAGGATTAAATGAATTAGTGTATGTAAAGCACTGAGAAGAGTGAAGCACTGTATAAATATTAGCTGCCATCGTTATTTTTGTTGTTATTGTTATTGGAATACTACGTAGCCAATTAAAAGAATAAGGTGGGAATATATAGAGTAACCTGAAAATACCTCTACTATATATTTAAGTATATATTGCAGTATAGAGTGGACACTTTGAGCCTATTGTTATTTAGAACAATATGTGTTTATTGATATATGGGTATTACCTCTGAGTAGCAATATGAGCAGCAATTAGAATAGTGGAGTACCACTTTCATTGTATAAACTTCTTTTGGTAATAGCTTTATTGAGGTGTAATTCACATGCCTTACAACTCACTCATTTATAGTATACAATTCAATGGTTTTTAACATATTTACAGAGTAGTGCAACCATCACTACGATCAATATTAGAACATTTTCATCACCCCAAAAAGAAATTCCATAACCTTTAGCCATCAATCCCCAATTCTTCCATAGCTCCCATTAAGCAACCACTAATCTACTTTGTGTCTCTATGGGTTTGCCTATTTTGGATTTTTCACATAAATGGAGTCAAACTATACACGGTCTTTTGTGATGAACTTCTTTTACTTAGCATAATGTCTTCAAAATTCATGCATGTTGTAGCGTGTAAGAGTACTTCATTCTTCCTTATTGTCGAATAATATTTCATTGTATGGATATACTACATTTTATTTACCCATTCATCAGTTGATGGACATTTGGGTTGTTTCCACTTTTTAGCTATTATGAATAATGCTGCTCTGAACATTTATATACAAGTTTTTGTGTGAACATGTTTTCATTTCTCTTGGTTATATACCTGGGAGTGGAAATGCTGAGTCATCTGATAACTATATTTAACCTTTGAGGAGCTGCCAGACTGTTTTCCAAAGTGGCTGCACCAGTTCACAGTCCCACCGGCAGTGTATGGGGGTTCCAGTTTCTCCACATCTTCACCAGCACTTGTTATTTCTCTTTTTGATTGAGTCATCTTAGTGGGTGTGAAGTGGTACCTGTGGTTTTGATTTGCATTTCCCTGCTGACTAATATGTTGAGCATCTTATCATGTGCTTATTGGCCATTTGTATGTCTTCTTTGGAGAAATGTCTATGCAGATCCTTTGCCCAGTTTTTACTTGGGTTTTCTTTTCTTTTTTCTTTGTTTTTTTTTTTGGCTGAGGAAGATTCACCCTGAGCTAACATCTACTGCCAATCTTCCTCTTTTTTTTTTGGTGAGGAAGATTAGCCCTGAGCTAACATCTGTTGCCAATCCTCCTTTTTTTTTGCTTAGGAAGATTGGCCCTGGGCTAACATCTGTGCCCATCTTCCTCTACTTTATATGTGGGATGTCTGCCACAGCATGGCTTGATAAGCAGTGTGTAGGTCCATGCCCGGGATCCGAACCTGCAAATCCTGGGCCACTGAAGTGGAGCGCGCAAACTTAACCACTACGCCACCAGGCTGACCCCAAATCTTCCTCTTTTTGTATGTGAGCCACTGCCACAGCATGGCCACTGACAAATGAGTGGTGTAGGTCTGCGCCTGGGAACTGAACCTGGGCCGCCGACGTGGAGCACCCCAAACGTAACCATTGGGCCACCGGAGCTGGCCCTGTGTTGTCTTTTATTATTGAGGTGTAAGAGTTCTTCATCTATTCTAGATATAGGTCCCTTATCAGATATATGATTTGCAGATATCTCCTTCCATTCTATAGGTTGTCTTTTCACGTTCTTGAAAGTGTCATTTGAAGCACAAAAGTTTTAAATTTTGATAAGGTCCAATTTATCTATGTTTTCTTTGGTTGCTTGTACTTTTGGTGTTATATGTAAGAAGGCTTTGCCTAACCCAAGCTCACAAAGATTTACTCCTACAGTTTCATGTAAGAGTTGTGTAGTTTTAACTCTTGCATTTAGTTCTGTGATCCATTATGAGTTAATTTTTGTGTGTGATGTGAGAAAGGGGTCCAGCTTCATTCTTTTGCATGTGGTTATCCACTTGTCGCAGCACCATTTGTGAAAAGACCATTTTTTCCCCCAGTGAATTGTCTTGGCATCCTTGTTGAAAGTCAGTTGACTGTAAATGTGAAAGGTTATTTCTGCATTCTCAATCTCTTCCTTTGATCTGCATGTCTATACTGTCGACCACATTATCTGTATTAAGGTAGCTTTGTAGTAAGTTTTGAAATCAGAAAATGTGAGTCCTCCAAATTTGTTCTTTTTCCGGGTGGTTTTGGCTGTTCTGGGTCCCTTAAATTTCCACATGAATTTTAGGATCAGGTCGACAATTTCTGCAGAGAAGTCACCTGGGATTTTGATAGGAATTGTGTTCGGTCTGAGATTCATGAACATGCAATGTCTTCCCATTTATTTAGGTCTTCTTTGATTCTTTCAACAGTGGTTTGTGGTTTTCAGAGTATACGTTTTGCACTTCTTTTGTTAAATTTATTTCTAAGTATTTTATTCTTTTTGATGTTCTTGGAAATGAGATTTTCTTAATTCGATTTTTGGATTGTTCATCGCTAATGTATAGAAATACAATTGATTTTTGAGTATTCATCTTGTACCCTGCAAACTTGCTGAACTCATTTGTTAATTTTCATAGTTTTTTAGTGGATTCCTTAGGATTTTCTAGATATGATATCATGTTATCTATAAGTAGAGATAGTTTTGCTTTTTTCCTTTCCAATCCAGATGACTCTGATTTATTTTCTTATCTAATTGCCCTGCTAGAACCTCAGTACCATGTTGAATAGAGGTGGGGAGAGTGGACATCTTGGTTTGTTCCTGATCTTAGGGGGAAGGCTTTCAGTCTTTCACCGTTGAGTATGACGTTACCTGTGGATTTTTCGTAGATGCCCTTTACCAGGTTGAAGACGTTCCCTTCGCTTCCTAGTTTGTTGAGTGTTTTTTATCATGAAAGTGTTCGGTTTTGTCAAATGTTTTTTCTTTGTCTATTGAGATGATCAATAGAGTACATTGACATGTGTTTTTTCCCTTTATTTTATTGATGGAGGGTATTACATTAATTGATTTTTGGATGTTAAACCAAGCTTGCCCTCCTGGGGCAAATCCTGCTTTGTCTTGTTGTGTCATTCTTTGTAGATGTTGCTGATTTTAGTTTGCTGGTGTTTTGTAGATTTTTATGTCTATATTTATAAGAGATAATGTCTGTAGTTTTCTTTTCTTGTGGTGTTTTTTCTGGTATTGGTATCAGGGAAATACTTGCCTCATAGAATGATTTCAGAAGAATTCCCTCTTCTTCCGTTTTTTGGAAGTTTGTGAAGAACTGGCATCGGTTCTTTTTTAAATGTTTTATGGAATTCATCAGTGAAGCCGTCTGAGCCTGGGCTTTTCTTTGTGGTAGTTTTTTGACTACTAATTCAATTTCCTCATAAACTTTTGTACTATTAGAATTTTTAAAATTGCATTTTGATCTTCCAGTAAGACATTAAAATTTTTTGAGAGTATGAGCTTTGGAAATAAGGCCATCAAACAGACCTAAGTTTGAATCCCATCTCTGGAGCTTCGGCTTGGGGGCAGGTTTCTTAACACCTCTGACTCTCTGTCCGCACCTGCAAATTGAAGGGGACAGTGAAACATTGTAGGTTGAAAGGGCCCAGGTCAGACATGCGAGGAGTTTAGAGCTGGTCCCTGGCACCAGGCTCGGGGTAGCTTTTGAGATGATGTCACAGCCTCTTTCTCCCTCTGCATTTTTGCCGTAGGGTGCTCTGCCATTCCTGGTCACTGCCACCTCTGGCACGACCGTGCTGGGAGCCTTTGATCCCCTGGAGGCAATTGCTGACGTGTGCCAGCGTCACGGGCTGTGGCTCCATGTGGATGTGAGTGGGGCTTGGGGCTGAGGGTGGGGTGGGCTGAGCTGAGGCCAAGGCCCACGTTGTTTCTTCTGCTCCACAGGCCGCCTGGGGTGGGAGTGTCCTGCTCTCACAGACACATAGACATCTCCTGGATGGGATCCAGAGGTGCGTACTGCCCCCCACTCCCTGAATCTCACCCTTGAAATCCTTGATCCAGAGAATAGTCGTGGACTAGGGAGCTTCAGATGGGAGTGGGGGGAGGAGGTTGGTAGGAGGGGAGGTTGGAGAGATGGTTGATTGGGGCTGGGAGGTCAGACGTCAGGCATGGGAATTCTTCCTGACTGCTGAGCTGGAGGGAGACCGAGCCCCTTTACTGGAGATCCAGAAAAGGAGGGGGGCTCTGGTTGAGCAGCTGACCAAGAGGAGGAACCAGCTGCCCCAACTTTGCTATGCCGCCCTCCCAGGGCTGACTCCGTGGCCTGGAATCCTCACAAGCTCCTCTCGGCAGGCCTGCAGTGCTCAGTTCTTCTTCTCCGGGATACCTCGGTGGGTCTGCCCACACCCCTGTCCTGGCTCCACCTCTCACACTGGACCTCTGTCTTCTTTTCTATCCCACCTTAGAGAGGGGCCTGGCCTTACTATGTTCTTGCCATCCCATCTGAAGCTGAATATCTGTGACCACCCTAATCCCCTGTAGTGGGCTCCCCCACTCCCTTTGTGGCCTGTCTTCATGCAAAGGAAGAATTTCCAGCTTGAAGTTGTAATCAAAGGAATCCTGGGTCAAGTTTGGGAAGAACTCTGGGTATTGGGAGAAAACTCAGAGAAAGGGGTCTGAGTCAGCCAGCAGCCTTCCCATCAGTGCCGCCTGGTGCCAGGGAAAGAAGTGGGTGGGCTGAGCTAAGAAATCCCCCAGTGCAGCCCTGGGGAAACCTTGGTGCAGAGGGTGGGGTCTGACAGTCTCCCCACCTACCCCCCCAGAACCTGCTCAAGCGCTGCCACGGGTCCCAGGCCAGCTACCTCTTCCAGCAGGACAAGTTCTACGACGTGGCTCTGGACACAGGAGACAAGGTGGTGCAGTGTGGCCGCCGCGTGGACTGTCTGAAGCTGTGGCTCATGTGGAAGGCACAGGGCGGGCAAGGGCTGGAGCAGCGTGTGGACCAGGCCTTTGCCCTTGCCCGGTAGGAGTGGGGAGTGGTCCCAGTTTCCCTCCCCAGGACCTGTCCTCCACACCCCTCTCCTGCTCTCAGTGTCTCTTGGCTCATTCTCTGGGTCTCTTTTGTTTCTGTGTCTCCTCCATCTGTGATTTCTCTCTCTGTTCGCAGGTACCTGGTAGAGGAATTGAAGAAGCGGGAAGGATTTGAGTTGGTCATGGAGGTAGGACCAACCCTGTGCTCTTTTGCATCCCCCTGTTCCGCCAGCCTGTCCCACACGCAGAGCCCTGATGGGGGAAGAGGGGCAGTGGGAGGGGACGGTCTCCCTTCCTCAGCTTACACCTTCCCCTCCCTGATTCCTCCCAGCCCGAGTTTGTCAATGTGTGTTTCTGGTTCGTTCCCCCCAGCCTGCGGGGGAAGCAGGGGAGTCCGGATTACAGTGAAAGGCTGGCTAAGGTAGGCTCTCTCTTCGAGGCTGTGGTTAACCCAGTTTAGGAACTGGTGCGGCTGGTGCGTTTCTGCCCCCTGCTGGCTGTGACTGGCATGGCAGGGCCCTTGGCTAGTCTTGCTTCTGAGGTGGGGACGTGAACTGGAAGACACCCATTTGTCCTCATTTCTGTGGGGGTGGGGATGGGGAATAAGGTATATTTCTGGAAAGTAGGAAGTAGATAGAGGGGGCATGACAGGGGAAGTCACCAGTGTGCAGTACAGCAACCCCGTGCTGGGAGTTCTGCTGGGAGCTCAGGCCCAGGACAGAGACGTGAGGCAGAAAGATCACGGAAGATGCTGGGGACAGCACAGCCCCTTGAGGCCAGTCCACATGTGCCCCCTAGAGGCGAGGAGATCTGTCACGTCCTGGTCCCTAAGGATAGATTGGTACTAGGTGCTGCAGATGATCCAAAAGAACAAGAATGTTCTTGCCCTTAGGGAGGTATTATTTTAGAAAACAAGAGTTACCTATTAGAAACCAGTGTGTTCAAGGTGGTCTTGTAAATTACATCTTCGATCACAGGGTACAGATCAAAATATTACAGGAATTCAGAGAGGGGAGGAGAAGGTGTTAAGGATGACTAAGGCTTGAAGTTAGACTACAGCAGCGTTGGGATTCTGGGAAAAGTCAGGACTTGGCAGAAGACGGCCTCTGTGACAACTTGGAGATAGGTGAAATGGGGAATAATGCAGAAGGTGGAGAAGGCCAAGCAGGTTGGATGTGGTGGAAAAGGTAAACTGGGGCCACGGTCAGGCTCACAGCAGTGAGAGCTGCATTGCTAGTGGGAGGGTGGCTGGGTGGGAGGGAAACGCATCTGGGGGCCGGGCTGGAAGCCAGCACAGCCCCTCACCTGACCCCGGGCTGCAGCTGGACGCTCTCCCCACCCTTCCACAGGTGGCCCCGGTACTTAAAGAGCGCATGATGAAGGAGGGCTCCATGATGATTGGCTACCAGCCCCATGGGACCCGGGGCAACTTTTTCCGCATGGTCGTCGCCAACCCCGCCCTGACCCGGGCTGATATGGACTTCCTCCTCAACGAGCTGGAACGGCTAGGCCGGGACCTCTGAGCCCTCTCCTCCTTGCTGCTGCCCTTGGCATCCCCCGCCCGCTCCCCGTGTGTTCCCTCCCTATTCTCAAGAACAACCTTTCTGGGAAACACAGTGGTCTTAACAATGTTTATATACTTACCCACTAACTCTCCTATTCAATATTTGATATTAGGAAAATGTTTAAATAAATAGTATATCCATATCGTAGGATGTTATTCTGCCATTAAAATTATGTTTACAAAGAAGATTTTTATTGATATGAGAAAAAATAATTTTAATATAATGTTACGTTGAAAAAGCTGGATATAAGACTTTATGTATAGTAACATCTGAACTATATTCAAAAATACATAGGAAAAGACTGATGAAATGAAATGAAAATGAAATATGAAATATATGCCAAATAATAATAATAATAGTTTTCCCTGGGATGGAATTATAGGCACTTTAAAAGTGAACTTCTTTATACCTTTTGTGTCCCCCCTTCTATTATATAATGAATATGCATAACTTTTGTAATAGGAAAATAATAAAGTTAAAATTTCAACTGTATTATTTTGGTTATGTTTTGAAGTTTGTTACCTTTCAACCAAATAATGGAGAATGCAAATTTATTTTTTTAAAAAGGCAAGTGTAAGAGAGGCTAAGAAGAGGAACATTTTTTTCCCCAAAAATCTTTAGTGGGAGGGGAAAGACCAAAAGTGGAGTCACCCTAAAATTAATTGTACTTTACTGACATTGAAGACAAAACAGGCACTGATTATGTCTTGAGACCAGAGCCTTGTCCACTTAACCACTCTTGAAAAATCCTCACCCGCGCCCACACACGCACACACAGAGTGAGAATTTTCCTTCTGTAATCTAAACAACAGAAACAAAGAAAAAAACCCAGCAACCAAACCAACCACTGTTCTGTCTTCTGGTATTGCTATTGTCTTACATAAAAACATGCAATTGACACTTACCATCCAGTGCTGGTGTTGCTTCTCAGTCACTTTTTTGGGAAAGAGGCATTTAGCTACACAAGTTATTAAGGACAAGTGGCAAGTTTACCAGAACTTTTTGTTATTTCCAATTCCTAAAAATACCGTTTATGAAAACAATAACGTGGTCATGTAAAAGTCATCCAAAGTTATTTGAAGAGGCAAATACAGACTGTACAAACCACAGCAAAAGAACATCTGAATCTCAGACCCAGCTCTCTTGACCATTTGGGGGAAAAAAACCCAAGAACCTTTCAATTCATAAATTACTAGTAATGCCCCTATAAACTTGTTATTCTTCTTATAAATGGTATTTCAATTTCTTCCAAATAATCAAATTGTTTTGAGAGTATTAATAATTAACTCCAAGCCCTGATCTGAAAGAGTTCTATATATCTGCAAAGTGTGTTAAACATAGTAAAACAAAAAAAGGCAAACTAAAGAAATCCTTATTTTCAATTCAAAGCAAAGCCAGAAAGCAAAAACAGAAACAAAATCTTCAAATTCCTTGAATCATGTTCATTTAAGAAATATTTTTAAGAGAAGGCCAGAAGGACAGGACATACTTTTCCCCATCTCTATAAAACTGATGCTTCTTTTCCTCTGTTCCCAAAATCAAACCTCAAGATCTCTGGGTACAATGTGGCAGTCACTTGCTTCCTCTCTCTGTCAACATTTACTGAGCTCCTGCCGTGTGTAATTCCTTTCCCTGCCTTCAAAGAGTTTAGGATTTAAGCAGTCATCCCTCAACCAAGGCGTGGCCCTGCTCCAGGGCCTTTGCATCTGCTGTCCGCTTTTGCCTCAATATTTATCCATCTACATGGTTCCTTCCCTCATTGCCTTTAGATTTTTGTTCAGATGTCACCTCCTTAGTGAAGCCTTCCTTGAATGTTCTATTTAAAATCACATTTTCACCCTCTATGCTTGTATTTGCTATTCCCTCATCTGCCCTGTTGTTCTCCATGGCAAGTATAAGCATCTGGCATACTCTATATTTACTTTATATATATATATTTTTTTCTTTTTTTTTCTGTCTCACCTGACTAGAATGTAAGCTCTGGGAGCAGCGATTTTGTATCACTGCCTCCTAAAACGGAGTCTGGTACTTACTAGGTGGGTAATATTGAGTGAATGGTTAATGGTATTAGTTGACTTGCTCTCAGACACATAAATTTTAGGTGGTGGAGTCTAAGCCAAATTCAGACCATTTTCCTCCAGCTCTTAAGCATGGGCCTAGCCTGCTTCTGTTGACAGGTGTGCATAATTCATAGGTGTGTGGGTGTTGGGCCGTTTTATTAACCATGGATGCTGTGGATCCACTGCCTGCAGGAGGATGAAGGCACATGCAGGCTCATTCACCCATCTTGTCCTTGGCCTGGGGAAATCGTATTTCCACCAAAGATGAAACAAGGACTTTGGGAACACCTGGGTGGGTTGCAATGCTGGATTGGTTTTTGTTTGTTTGTTTGTTTAAAGGGGTCAAAATATTCAAGAGGCCAGCCTCCACGAGGCTGGGAAGGGAAGATGGTGCCTTCACAGGGAGATAGGCCAGGAGCTGGGGGGCTAAAAGCTGGGTGGGGCAACTATGATTTGGCAGCTCTTGAGGTTCAGGGCAAGACCCTTCATAGGAAAGGGAGCAAGCTACAGTCATGTCAGAATCTGATTGGACACTTAGAACAGTTCTTATGCACCTAGGTCCTCATTTGGCTATTTCTCTTCTGTTTATGTACCTTCGAAAAATCTTTTATTTTGAAATAATTTGAAACTTATAGAAAAGTTGCAAGAATAGTTACAGAGAACTTCCATATGCTCTACCTAAATTTATCAATTTTTCACGTTTTGACAAATTTCCTTTGTCATTCTCTGTGTGTACCATAATTTATCTTTTTCTCAACCATTTGAGAGTTGGTTGCATACAATATGCCCCTTTATCTCTTAATATTCTGGCACATATTCCCTAAGAACAAAAATATTATCTTAAGTAACGTTGGTACAGTTATAAAATTCAGGAAATTTAACATTGTCACTATACTTTGATTAAGTCCAGATTCCAAAAGTGTCAGTTGTCCCAATAATGCCCTTTATGGCCTTTTTCCCTCCAGTATGCCATCCCAGTCCAGGGTCACGTGTTGCATTCTGTTGCCATGTCTCTGTCTCCTTTAATCTAAAATTGTCCCTCAGCCTCTGTTTGTCATTAGTGACATTGACATTTTTAAAGAATACAGGCCAGTTATTTTATAGAATGTTCATCAGTTTGTTACTAATGTCTCCTCACGACTGGATTCAGGCTATGCATTCTGAGGTGGAATATGACATGAGTCACGTGTGCCCTTTTCAGGGAAGCACGTCCCGAGGTCCACAATGTCCATCTGCTCCTTATTGGTGATGTAATTTTGATCAATGTCAGAATTGGTCAAGGTGTTGTCTGGTTTCTCCATGGTATAGTTACTATTTTCCCCTTTGCAACGAATCAACAATCTGTGAGGAGACATCTTGAGATTATGCAAATAACCTGCTCCTCTTCATGCTTTTCCCACCTAGACTTACTATCCACTCATGATTCTTGCCCAAGCCAACTTTAATCATAATGGTTGCAAAATGATGATTTTCTAACTCCAACATTCCCTCTACTTTTATCATTTGGCGTTCAACTGTAAAGAAGAGCCCACCCTTCTCCTTATTCATTCATCCATCTATTTATTATCAATACCCTTGTTTTATTCAATAAATTACAATCTACTTCTATCCTTACTTATTTTAATGCTCCAATTGCCCCAGTTTTGACCATAGGGAGCCCCTTTCATCTGGGTCCCATGTCCTTTTGACATAACTTTTTTTTTTTTTTTAAAGCACTGCCTTTTTTCCTGGCACAACAAAAATGTTCCAGGCTTATCTTGTCCCTTCTCTGCCCCAGTCTTGAATCAGCCATGTCTTCAATGAGCCCTGATTCCTTTTAGTGGAGAATGACATTTAGAAACCACAGTCTGGGCACCAGGAGTGTTTATAGTTGCTGGATATACTCACGTACTTTTAAAATTTAAACCAACATCCTTTTGGATCTCTCAACCCATCTTAACTGTGCTATGGGAAACAAAGGGCCAGAGCTTTAAAGGGGGAAGTGATGTGCCTCTGGGAGCTAGTACAGGGGAGCAGAGAGAAAGGATTGATAACCTAGGGTGGTAGGTGGGGAGTGAGGTAGAGTTGGGGTGCCTGGTTGAATCATCTCTTTTTTTTTTAATGTGGAGAACCTTGCAGGTTGGGTTTTGTATAAAGATGGCAATGTTCTTACAATCCCTGGTCTGGCATTAGCATTACAAGTTCCGTAGAATTATGGGTCTTGGAGTTGAAAGGCAAGCACAAGTACTCACATGGTACATCCTTGGCCTTTAGGCAGATTTTTCAACCTGTATTTTACAAATCAGGAAGCTGAGGCTGGGCAAAGCTAAGGTTCTCGACAAGGTCACAAAAGTGTCTGTCTCTTAAGCAGAAGACGTATTTTATTTTAAAGAATCCCATTTGTGCATATGAGCCACCGTCTCTTTAATTTTATCCCCCCAAAGACAGCAATTCTGTGCTTTCTTTTCTAGACTGACAATTTCTCCACATGTTAAAGGAATCCAGTAGTAGTCTGATGGCCTAGTTTGGAAAAATTCCTGACGTTCACTTTTAATAAATTCTCTGGTACCAACATAATTAGCTTGTACATTCCCTTAGTTTGTAGCATGTTATTTTTGTTTTTTTCTTATAACCACTTACATTTTAAAGTTGGCTCAGAGGTTTAAGTGTTTTTAGTCTCAACTGGAGTGCTGTTCCCTTCCGCCAGGGAGACAGATAGACTTGAGGATTATATATGCTAGGTATTGACACAGGGATCTCATTGGGGGAAAGTTGTTTTTTTTTTTTTTTTTTTTTAAAGATTTTATTTATTTATTTTTCCCCCCCAAAGCCCCAGTAGATAGTTGCATGTCACAGCTGCACATCCTTCCAGTTGCTGTATGTGGGACTCGGCCTCAGGATGGACAGAGAAGTGGTGCCTCGGTGCGCGCCCGGGATCCGAACCCGGGCCACCAGCATCGGAGCGCGTGCACTTAACCACCAAGCCACGGGGCCGGCCCCTGGGGGAAAGTTTTAAACTACATATTCAGATTCTTTAATAGATAAGGGCTATTCAGGGCTATTTCTTCCTGAGTAAGCTTTGGTAGTTTTTGTTTTTCAAAATTTGTCTATTTTCGTCTAAGTTGTAGGATTTATTGGTACAAATCTTTTTCCTTATTATCCTTTTAGTATCTGTAGAATCTATAGTATTGTTACCTCTCTCCTTCCTGATATTGCTGATTTGTGTCTTCTCTCTTTTTTCCCTGTTCAGTTTAGTTAGAGGTTTATTGCTATTGATCTTCTCAAAGGGCCAGCTTTGGTTTCACTGAGTTTCTTAATTGTTTTCTACTTAATTTCTGCTCTAATCTTTACTATTTACTTTCTTTGGCTTCCTTTGGGTGTAATGTTCTCTTCTCTTCCCAGTTTCTTAAGGTGTAAGCTGAAGATACTGATTTTAGACTTTTCTTCTTTTCTAATATAGGCGTTCAGTGCTATAAATATATACAGGCGTTCAGTGCTATAAATATATACAGGCGTTCAGTGCTATAAATTACCTTCTAAGTACCATCTCAGCTTCATCTCATAAATTTTGATATGTTGTGTTTTTATTTTCCTTTGGTTCAAAATACTTTCTATTTTCCCTTTTAATTTATTCTTTGATTCAAGGGTTATCAAGAAGTGCGTTTTTCAGATTCCATATATTTGGGGATTGTCCAAATCTTTCTGTTATTGATTTCTAATTTAAACCATTTTAACCAGAAAACATACTTTCTATAATTTGAATCCTTTCAAATTTATTGAGACATGTTTTATTGCCTATGGTACCAAACATGAATATGATATGAAAACCAGATAAATACATTACAAGAGAAAAAAACTACAGAGCAATATCAATCACGACATAAATATAAAAATTCTTAAAACAAGTGTAGCAAATTGAATTTAACAATATATAAAAATATTATACATCATGATTAAGGGAGGTTTACCCCAGGAATTCAAGGTTGGTTTCATTTTCAAAAATTAATCAATGCATATTAATCAACATATTAACGGACAAAAAAGAAAAATAATATTACTATCTCAATAGATGCAGAAAAGACATAAAATCCAATATCCACTCCTGATAAAAACTCTCAACAGCCTAGCAATAGAAGATGTGAAGAATTTGGCCTTGCCCAAAGAAAGGCCTGGCCTTTGTCCCTGGCTCCAGGGAGGTAAGCTCTAAACTTTTGGAGTTTCCCGAGTGGTAGAGTGCCTTTGTTACTCATGGTGGGCCCCTCTGTCCACTTCTGATAGTTTATGCTAACAAGGTGACTCATGATGTGTTCCTTGGGCCACGTGATATCAGATTGACCTCTGATATTGGCAGGGGGAGGGCAGGATACTGAGTTCAATCACATGGGCAATCAATCATGCCTGTATAATGAAGCCCCACTAAAAACTCTGGACACCAAAGCTCAAGTGAGTTTCCTAAATTGGCAGTGTTTGGTGCTTACCGTCACACATCAACGCTGAGAGAGTAACATGTCCTGAGGACAGTGGGAGCTTTGATTACTACAAAGTTATGGTAATGAAGACAATGTGGTCTACAGTATAGACATGCAGATCAATGGAACAGATTGAAAATCCAGAAATACACTCTCACATTTACAGTTAATTGATTTTCAACAAGAATGCCAAGACAATTCATTGGGAGAAAGAATAGTATGTTCACAACTGGCGTTGGGACAAGTGGACATCCATGTGCAAAAGAATGAAGTTGAATCCCTTTTTCACATCACACACAAAAATTTACTCATAATGGATCATAGCACTAAACATAAGAGCTAAAACTATACAACTCTTGGAAGAAAATAGAAGAGTAAATCTTCATGAGCTTGGGTTAGACAAAGCCTTCTTACATATGACACCAAAAGGACAAGCAACCAAAGAAAAATTAGATAAATTAGACCTCATCAAAATTTAAAACTTTTGTGCTTCAAAGGACACCTTCAAGACCATGAAAAGACGACATTTAGAACCGAAGAAGATATTTGCAAATCTTACATCTGCTAAGGGACCTATCTAGAATAGATGAAAAACTCTTACAATTCAATAATAAAAGACAAATAATGCAGTTAAAAACTGGGCAAAGGATCTGAACAGACATTTTTCCAAAGAAGATATACAAGTGGCCAATAAGCACGTGACAAGATGCCCAGCATCATTAGTCATCAGGGAAATGCAAATCAAAATCACAATGAGATACCACTTCATACCCACTAAGATGGCTATAATACAAAAGAAAAATAGAAGTGTTGGTGAGGATGTAGAGAAACTGGAACCCTCATACACAGTTGGTGGGATGGTAAACTGGTTCAGTCACTTTGGAAAACAGTCTGGCAGTTCCTCAAAGGTTAAACATAGAGTTATCATATGACCCAGTAATTCCATGGTATACTGGGTATATGACCCAGGTATATACCCAAGAGAAATGAAAACATTCATCCACACAAAAACCCATACAGGGCCTGGCCCTGTGGCCGGGTGGTTAAAGTTCCACGCGCTCCACTTCGGTGGCTTGAGTTCGCAGGTTTGGATCCCGGGCATGGACCTACTCCACTCACTAGCCATGCTGTGGCACTCTCCCACATATAAAGTGGAGGAAGACTGGCACAGATGTTAGCTCAGGGCTTATCTTCCTCAAGCAAAAAAAAGAGGAAGATTGGCAATGGATGTTAGCTCAGGGCGAATCTTCCTCAGCAAAAAAACCCACAACAAACCTGTACACAAGTGTTTATAGCAGCATTATTCGCGGGGCCGGCCCCGTGGCTTAGCGGTTAAGTGCGCATTCTCCGCTGCTGGCGGCCTGGGTTCGGATCCCGGGCGCGCACCGACGCACCGCTTCTCCCACCATGCTGAGGCCGCGTCCCACATACAGCAACTAGAAGGATGTGCAGCTATGACATACAACTATCTACTGGGGCTTTGGGGGGGGGGAATATATAGCAGCATTATTCATAATAGCCTGAAACTGGAAACAACCCAAATGTCCATTGTATCAGTCAGGGTTCTCCAGAGAAACAGAACCAATAGGATATACGTAGATATATACTATGAGGAGATTTGTTATAGTAATTGGCTTACCTAATTATGGAGGCTGAGAAGTCCCACAATCTGCCATCTGCAAGCTGGAGAACCAGGAAAGCTGGTGATATAATTCATTCTGAGTCCAAAGGCCTGAGAACCAGAGGAGC